AACTCAGTCAACGCAAGTTCTGTCTGATTGTATCCTTGAGGTCAAGCAATGGCTAGCTGACAACTTCCTCCATCTCAATGACTCCAAAACTGACTTAATCGTTTTCAGTCCTAACAGTATCACGGCAACTCAACAACCTGACCTCAACTATCTCTCACCTAATGTATCCTCTGTAATCTCCAACCTTGGAGTAAAAATGGACCAGGCTCTGAAGATGGATGCCCAGGTCAATAACACAGTTAAATCATGTTTTTACCAACTAAGACGCATCTCGAAACTAAAGCACATCCTGAGTGTCCGTCTTCTGAAATCCGTGGTCCACACTTTCATCACCTCAAGGCTGGATTACTCCAACTCCTGCTTATATGGCATCAGTAAAGCAGCTCTCTCTAGACTTCAGCTGGTCCAGAACTCAGCAGCTAGATTGCTGACTGGAGCTGACAGAAGACAACACATTTCTCCAATTCTGAAATCTCTCCAATGGTTGCCCGTGCAGTTCAGGATAAACTTCAAAATTATGCTTCTCACTTACAAATCCTTGAACCATCAAGCTCCTCCATATCTGTGTGAACTTGTCCAGTACTACAACCCGCCGCGTGCTCTCAGGTCTGAAGATAAGCTCCTCCTAGCTGTTCCCAATGCACGTTTAAAAAGCCGTAGAGAGAGGGCTTTCTCTGTCTGTGCTCCGAAGCTGTGGAACGCATTACCACTGCTAGTGAGGCAAGCACCAACAGCTAGCATTTTTAAATCACGCCTGAAAACTCACTACTTCAACCTAGCTTATACAACATAATTATGAACCTCACTGACATCTGCACTGTTTATAAACTGACTCCACAATTATCGACTTCTGTATTATTGAGGTTCTTTGTAAAATGTTTTTTTCCTATTTTTACTTCACCCTGTGTCTTAATGATTTTTAGCTGTTATTTTTGGGAATTTTGTTGTATTTCCTTTTTATCTTTTATCTGTGTTCGACATGTTTATATAACGCCTGTTTAATTAACCAACATTTTTAGTGTACAGCGCCTTGTTTGGTTGTAATGCCTTGTGAATGCGCTTTATAAATAAAATTGGATTGGATTGGATTGGATTGACACCTGCTCGCTCCAAACATAAATCTGACCCTTGGCTCAACTCTCATACTCGAAGTTTGAGAAAACTCTGTAGACAGGCTGAGCACAAATGGAAAAAAGACCACCTCCAGATTACATATCAGATCTTGCAGGACCTTTGGTCCAAATATCAACAAGCAGTTATGCATGCTAGAAGCCATTATTTTTCTAAAATTATTTCTGCAAACCGGTCCAATCAAAAAGTTCTTTATAAAACTATTAATTCAGTTCTCGTTCCTCGTGAGTCCAACTGTTCAGTTATTGCACCAAATCTCCCGGATCAGTTTCTTGATTTCTTTTCTGATAAGGTTTCCTCTATCAGGGCTAGTTTATCACTCCCTCTGTACACCCTGCCTACCTTAACCTTTAATACAGCACCCTTCCTCAGCTTTCAACCGATTTCCCTACCATGTCTGCAATCTTTGCTTCTGTCAATGAAACCATCTGGTTCACAAGACGACATCCTTCCTCCGCGCCTCCTGAAAGAGGTGTTCTCAACAATAGGTCATTATATCCAACACTTTATCAATACTAGTCTTAGTTTCGGTGTTGTACCCCCTGTCTTCAAACATGCTGTGGTTCAGCCGCTTCTAAAAAAAACCGGCTCTGACGCCTCAGTTCTTTCAAATTATCGCCCTATTTCCAAGCTTCCATTTCTGGCAAAAATTCTGGAGAAGGTGGTCTATGATAGCTTTCTACTCATCTAGCCGATCATAACATAATGGATATCTTTCAGTCGGGTTTTCGACCCCTGCACAGCACTGAGTCCACTCTCCTCCGTGTTTTTAATGGCATTTTTATGGCTACGGATTCTGGTGCCTATGCTGTGTTATTACTTCTCTATCTGTCCACCGCCTTTGACACCATCGACCACCACATCCTTTTATTACGTTTAGAGGAGGTTGCTTCAGTACGTGGTCCAGCCCTAACTTGGTTTAGGTCCTATTTGTCTAACAGGTCCCAACGGGTGGTGCTAAACAACATCTCATCTCGCTCTGCTCCTCTCTCGTGTGGGGTCCCGCAGGGGTCTATTCTGGGCCCTTTGTTGTTTTGCCTTTACCTCCTTCCACTCAGCTTAATCCTAAAAAAGCACTCTGTTCAATATCATTTGTATGCTGGTGACTGCCAGATTTACATGTCGGTGAAACCCCAGCAATCAATCCAGCCTCTCCTAGACTGCCTACGAGACGTGAAATGTTGGCTGGCCTCAAATTTCCTGCATCTCAACGATTCCAAGACTGAACTTGCTGTATCCTGTTTAATCCGGTCTGATTTAGCCTTTTCCAAACCCCAGATCTTTCATCTGTTTCTCAAAATCTAAAAACTGTTGTGACAAACCTGGGTGTAAAGATGGATTCATCTCTTAGGATGGACGCCCAGGTCAATGCCACCGTAAAATCCTGTTTTTTCCAACTCCGCCGTCTGTCCAAATTAAGAGCAGTTTTATCTGGGAAAAATTTGGAATCAGTTGTTCATTGCTTTTATCACATCTAGGCTCAACTATTTAAACGCAATATTGCTGGGTGTCAATAGGTCAACCCTTGCCAGACTTCAACTCGTCCAAAACGCAGCGGCTAGATTCCTCACACGTACTGACAGGCGCCAGCACATAACTCCAGTTCTAAAATCCCTTCATTGGCTGCCCATCACTTTCAGGGTCCAATATAAAATATTGCTTTTTGTCTTCAAATCCCTCCATGGTCTTGCCCCCGTGTACCTATCTGACCTTCTTGCGATTTATACTCCCGGTAGCACACTCAGGTCCTCTAGCCCGTTGCTCCTCGAGGTACCGAAAGCGTGTTATAAATCATGCGGACAAAGAGCTTTCTCTGTTGCCGGTCCTAAAATGTGGAACGAACTTCCAGCCGCAGTTTGACTGGCATCCTCCTTGGCAGTTTTTAAGTCTAGACTAAAGACACACTATTTTACCCTTGCTTCTAACAGTTGGCTGTTATTTTGGTTTTTACTACTCTTATTTTATCATCCATTGTAAGGTTTTTGTCGGAACTTTTTTATTGGCTTGTTTCTTATCTGTTGACTGTATTTTATTGCTCTGTTTTATGTTTTTATCTCTGTTATTGTGCGACTGTTCAGCACTTTGGTCGGCCGTATGGCTGTGTTTGTAAAGTGCTATATAAATAAAGGTGGTATGGTATGGTCATGCATCCCACAAAAAGGACACTGCTCTGTTATTTTTGCGCACCTCACTGCAGCAATACCTCCCTCAATGGCTGTTCAATGTGATTGCATAGGTGGCCTGGGCCAAGGGCCAGGTCTGGTCATAACAACGAAGTAGCCTAATAGTATTGTCATAGAAATAAGAAAGGACTCAGGTTCCCCTGTATGAAATTCAAAGCAAGACACAATTTGAACTGTTTCCTTTATTCACTTTTTTCAAACTCAAAATCACAACAAACATGTTTTTTTTAGAACATCTAACACATTTTTATGTATATGACATAGTTCCCACACAATCCATCATTTGGTATGGATGTACTACTCAGTTTGGTACTTTTTGAAGCACTCACATTTTTCGCACGCAAATGGTGTACGTCCGCCACAGTTCTGCACCACTTGTACCTGCTACCAGTGTTGTTGGGCCAGTGATTCAGGCTGTGGCTATGGCCACCCCTGGCCACCCCTTGGGGGCGCCCTTGCACATTTGAGGTCATGAGGAAGCTGATTCCATATGAGCAGCATAGTAGCTAAAAGCAGCTTCACCCTGTTTGGTTCTGACCCGGTTCTGCCAGCTGATTGATTCCTAAGGATCTCAGAGCCCTGCTGGCCGTAGATACCTGAAGGAGATCCAACATGTATTCTGGCTCCATGATACTGAGTGATTTATAAACTAGTGGTAGTACTTTGAAATGGATTCTGTAGTTTACTGGAAACCAGTGTAGAGATATAAGAACAGGAGTGATGTGCTCGGTTCTCTTGGTTCTTGTTAAGACTACAAAGACCAGTCAGAGACCATTGTAGTCCAGCCTGCTGGAGATGAACACATGAATGAGTTTCTCTCGGTCTTGTCTGGACATGAGACCCCTGAGTCGTGCTGTTTGATGAAGAAGATAAAACACTGATCTAGTTATAGCCTAATGAAACCAGTGAAGCTCAGGTCTGAATCAGTTATGACACCAAGATTTCTAACTTGGGTCTTTGTCTTTGTTCCTCTGGAGCCAAGCTGAGCAGCAACCTCCATCCTATCGTTCTGATTTCCAAAGACAATAACTTCAGACTTGTCTTTGTTTAACTGGAGGAAGTTTGGTTGCATCCAGTCCTTAACTTGGTCCCAACACAGACATCACAGACAACACAGTGATTCTAGAGGACCACAGTCACTAGGTAGGTCTGGGTGTCATCTGCATAACAATGATGGGTTTTGTTGTTATTGTTTATGACCTGACCCTGGGGGGATCGATCGGCAGATGGGATCGACTTGCTAATTCCACCCCCCCCCCCCCCCCCCCCCCCCCCCCCCCCCCCCACCCCCCCCACCCCCCACCCCCCGATAAACATGCTGAAGCTGTGAAATGAGAGCCTTCCATTCGGGCTCTGGCGTTTATTCCACTCCAACATGGGAACGGCGGTTTGGGAGAGGAACAGGCTGGCTCTGGTTAGACCGGTACCATCATCTGGCTTCTATTTTCTCTGAAGAACCAGTCACATCCAGGATGGTTCAGTTGGGAAAAGCTGAGAAAAATGAAAATGTTGGTGGAAGTTGGAGCGTAATTACAGGTTGTGGTTTCTGTTTTTTATCTATAAATCCAGTCTGGGGTTGTGTTTTATCGTCCCACATAAAACACACTTTTGGTTTGTGAGTATTACATCACTGCATCACTTAATTATTCTCCTAGTTTTGATGTTTTATCTGCGTTGTGTCTGCAGATGGATACGAGGAGCACGGCTTGGAAGCATCAGACTCACAACAGTTTAAAGACGTAAGATTTTATTTATCAACCTTTCTTTTTCCCTGTTTGGGAATTTAGAAAAACAAGAAATACTTCTTTATTATTTCAGAGATTGAATAAAAATGAAATGGGAAATGAAACCAGGGTGATTTTTTTAGTCTGGATTTGTTTAAATATAAAAAATTATGTAAAATGATTAAAGCACGAAAAACACAGCAGCATTAAAGAGACCGTGTCCTAACATTTGTGAGGTTTTTTGTTCTTCCTCAGGGCTTTCTCGTCTCTCTGGAGTTTTTACTGTGGAATACTTTCTGAAGGACTAATGAAGTTTTCTGTAATTCCTCTGAAAAGCTGGCTTCTCACTCGGCTCTTTGCAACTAGTTGGAGACAAAGAAAATATGTAGATATGCTGGAATCAGTAAATCTGGTTGCAAATGATACATTTACAGTTATAATGTGACATTTTCATGACATTTGTTTAATGTTTTTGTCACCATTTAGTCACAAAGTGTCTCCATTTATTTTCTTTTATTTTCTGGATTCAGTATCAAACTTATTTTCTTGGGTCTCCAGTTTCTCCATTTTCTGACCCCTAAACACTAAAATACACACCTGAGCCTCTTTTCTTAAGTTTTATAGTTTAAAAAATGTGTGAAAACTCCTTTGGGAGGAGATGGAGAGGGAACTGAGACTGATCGGACACTTTTGCTGGAGTTCCTGCAGGTTTGGTGAGGAAACGCTCTTGTACCTGGAGCTGTTCTGCTGCTTTTCTCCGCTGATCGTTGCTGACAGAACAGCAGAAACATAAAAACCGTTGGCCAAGATGACTCGCTTCATTCTAACGAAAGAGCTGCATCCTGTTTGTAAATAATAATAATAATAATAATGCATTGAACTTATATAGTGCTTTTCTAGACACCCAAAGACGCTTTCACACACTCTCACGTTCACACACTGCTAGTGATGGTAAGCTACTTGTAGCCACAGCCGCCCTGGGGAGGTCTGACAGAGGCGAGGCTGCCATTTGGCGCCGTCGGCCCCTCTGACCACCACTAACACAGGCAATTTGAGTGAAGTGTCTTGCCCAAGGACACAACAGCAGGATGCCCCTGGCGGGAGCTGGAATCGAACCCATAACCCTCCGATCATGAGGCAACCCGCTCTACCACCTGACCTACTGCTGCCCCACACGTGAACGTGATTTAGAGCCAGCGTAGAACACGTGGTTTGGCTAAAGTGTGCATGGCTAGTTTTGTTATTTTCTGCGAGTTTAAACAGAGTTGTGCAGTCAGGACTGACATTCATCCCTCTGACGGATTCTGTTTAAAGTGTTTTCTACACAGTTTGTCTAGGGTATCTTGTTTGGCCCTGAAACATCTGGAATGCTTTACCAGATGTGGACAGCAGAGGCTGAACCAGGGCTATGAGTTGATGTTGGAAAACAAGTCCCCTGGAATTCCTCTTAAAACCCAAACTCTGTGTTTGTAGCCGAGCGTCTGTTTAGTGTCAGGGATCCTCAGCTCTGCCGGCTGGGCTCGTGATGTGTTTACGTCTCTTCTGGTCTGACTTGTGATGACTGCAGCAGGAACAGAGAGAGGTTTGGAGGCTGCAGAGCACCCTCTTGTGTCGTTGGCTGAGTTAGGATCTGGCGGCTTTAGGAAGCTTCTGCTCTGATGAGCCTCGGTGAGAGATGACGCTCTGTCAGCACACAGCTTGTTTTTAAAGCTCTCCCTCTCTTCTCAGAACTCCAAACAGATTATATGTTTTTCCAAACTCCATTTGTTCCAAAACTACCTAAAATTTCTATTTCATCCAAAGATGAATGACTGTTTATAAGGAAACATCTGAGTGATATTTCATTTGTTGGTTTATCTGCTAGTTTTTAACTTTTGTCTCTCATCACTCGTTTTTGGTTTTTAAAGATGCTTTTTGTGCTTTTAAATCTTTTCTTTTGGGAGAAAACAGCTTCTGGAGTGACGGGACTTTTCTCTTCCTTCTCTCCTCTCTGCTGGTGACGGCGTTTCTCTTTCTGCTGTTTGAAGATGAAAAAGATCAAAAGGCGTCTGACCGTCGACCCGTTTGATTTCATCCTCTGCTGCGAGCGCTCCAATGCCTCGAGGCGACACAAGGATCAGGTAGAGGACTGAAGGCAACTACCAGGCTGCGTTGTTGCTGGTTTGACTAGACCTGTTAGGACTTTTATAGCTGAAGCAGGAGAACCTCCATCATCTCTGCAGCCACTAAAGTAAAGGTTGTGCGTTTGGCTCCTGATGTAAAAACATCACGCTCTGTAGGACGTGGAGGAAAGCAGCTGCAGCTGTTCCAGAGATGCTGCCTGTGTTCTCATGCATGTGTCATCTGCATTAATCACAGGAGACGTTTGATTCCTCCTACTCAGGCTACAGGTGTCTATGACTTCATGGATGCAGGTGAGAGGGGGTCAGAGTTCACTCAGGCCTGCATGGCTGTGGTTTTCCACCAGATCCAGGAGCAGCAAAGAGGCCAGGACCAGGACATGGTTCCACACCACGGTACAGTCCCAGCTCGGCCACAGTGCAGTTGTACAAGTCAGTAAAGTTATTTACTCACACACTTGTGTGTTTAGATGACCTGGTGTTTGTGGAGAACCACGCTGTCCCGTCTCGCTCTGTGTCCCGGCTCATCTACTCCTCCTGTGGCAGCGGGAACGCTGGAGGTCCGAGGGGGGGCAGCAGCTTCCTGCCTGACCTGGACGACTCTGAAGGAGAGGAGGATCCTTGTGAGCGGTATCCGGTGTATCATTCCCACCCAGAACCCTGCAGCCACGCGTCTCAAGAGAGCCTGGACTCTGCGCCGCAGGTCTTTAAATCCCGCTGCTGCAGGAGGATGTAAACGAGCTTTAATGGGTTCGAGGGTGTTGTTATGCATCAGCTTTCAGAAGGTAGTCCTGTATTATGACTAAAAGCCTCTGCTTCACACTGACATCAGTCAGCTGTAGGTAAATAATCTAAACGTCATATTCATACCAGCTTTCTCTTATATTTGGTGACTATTGATCCAGTTTCCTCTCAGACAGTCAGATCGTTCTCAAAACTCAACATTTTAAACCAGTTTAGACAAAACGCTGAGAGGAAACAGCTGTTTCACACGAGTATGAGACACGCATCTGTGGCAAGTCTTTAACTGGAAGCAGAAATTAAGACGGGTTAAAACCGTCTGAACGTGGAACACAAACAGCCTCATGAGGCCGATTCTCTGAGTGATGAAGAGGAGACAGCTGCAACATCAGAGGAAGGCTGCACACATGACATCAGCGTCTATTCCTGTGATCGGGAGAAACCCGATCCCTGGGAACGGCAGCTTCCTCCCTCATGGGAATCATGAACACCAGATTGTTTACAGGCTGTTTTCTGTCCATCAGAAACTCTCCGGTTCCGGGTTTCTGCCTCTGATCAGGTGTGATCCTCCTGCTGGTTCCCTCCTCTAGATGTTTGTGCTTCACTGCATCTGTCTCACAGGTGGTGGACACAAACAGGAGACACAGCCCAGACGTGGGCCTGTCACTCATCAACATTTGGCCGCCAGCTTCTGATTGGCTGCCAGGTCTGAGCCTCCTCAGATGACCCTTCAGACACTGAGATGTTGATGTGACAGCAGGAGGAGCCCAGAGGACGAGAACAGTCTGAGTCTGTAGAAGCTCCAGACGTCAGAGAGAAAACTCGCCGTCCACCTCATCCTGTCGCATTTAAATATTCCAACAACGCGGCGTCCAATCAGGAGCATGCACAAGTTCATCTGCTGTAAAAGAAACACACCATTCAACCCGAACCTTAAATATTTAAAGGCTTCAGGCTCTTGCGCCTGTTTGTAAAAGATTTAAGAATCCTGATGAAATATTTTCTGTTTCTCTTCTAAATAAACAAAAAGACAAAAACTGGTTTCAACGATCTGTTAAAATCTAAAAAATGGAAAAAAAAATTCGTTTAAAATAATATTTAAAAATCTGTTAAACTCAAATTGTTTTACTTCATATCAAAGTTTGAGGAGGAACATCTTAATTCACTGAGTTTTATTGAAATTCTGGTGATGCTGTTGTGAGACTAACTGAACAAACTCTCCACTTTTTGTCTGGTAAAACATTATTTGTTATTATTTATTCATTATTTAATCCATAGAATAAAGGCTACGTTAAAAACTGTTTTGTTATAATTTCATATTTTTTTTATTCCTCACAGAATTTAGAGAATATGTGAGGAGACTTTTATTTTGAAGAGTCGGGCTACAGTCCTAATCTGATTCCTCGTGTCTCCTGGATCTGAATTCAAATATATTTACGCCAACATCTTAACAAAAGCTTTATCTAAGTGTGAATCTAACAAATCTAACATACATTTGACTCATTTTATTGTTTAAATAGTTCCAAATATTGATTATTACCTATTTATTTTTAAATATGTTGTGTTTTCTCAGACATTTTGCATCTTTCCATGGTTTTTTTTATCTGTTGGGACTCTTCTTGTCTCTTTCTGGACCTTCTCAGATCTCTGACCTGAACAGACGGATGTTTGCTGTTGAGACCTTCTTGAATCGCTTAGAGCAGAAGGTTGTTCCACCAAACTTTGGGGTAAAGTTGTTTTATCTCACATCATAATTCTGGGTGTTTTTATCAGGATGTTAAGAATACTGAGGAAATTATGTTTTAACATCTGAAACTGAGTTTTACAAGAAGAAAAAAGCAATAAACTATTTTATAGTTTCAAAAGTCCTGAGGCATGTGTTTTGAGACTCTTATTGTGAAGGACTAGATAGATGCTACAGTAGAAGTGGAAAAAACACCACTCCACCCCCTGATGCCACCATAATCCTTACTCCTTGGTAATTACCCACTGTGCAAGGTGACGTCAGTTCCAGGTTGTTTCTGGACGTCCAGACTAGGTCCCCAGAAGGTGCAGACTGACTCCAGTTGACGTCTTTTTCATGACGTCCACATGGTGAATTAACGTGCTTAGGATGTTCAGATTGGGACTATTTATGGTTTAAATGAGGTCGTTGTGGTGGACGTCCTTCCCACGCACCCCAGACACGTCACAGCTATGTCTTTTTCAGGTCTTTTGCAACATCCAGGTGTGAGCTAATTTTGGTCCAAAGGAGGTCTCTTGGATGTCCTCATGTACCCCAGACATGTCACAGCAACATCTATTCTGTGTGTGTGAGTGTGTGTGTGTGTGTGTGTGTGTGTGTGTGTGTGTGTGTGTGTGTGTGTGTGTGTGTGTGTGTGTGTGTGTGTGTGTGTGTGTGTGTGTGTGTGTGTGTGTGTGTGTGTGTGTGTGTGTGTGAGTGAGTGAGTGTGTGTAAAGATTGAAGCTCACAATATGATTTGCAAATAATAATAATAAACAATCTATTATCTGTGTTTTGTTTCTAATCAACAACCAGAGTCTGACTCCACAAAGCATCTCTCCTCCTCCTCCTGCTCCTCCTCAGTGGGAGGAGGTGGAAAATGAAGAGCAGCTGCTCAGACAAAAGCTGCATGAGTTAACAGACAACATCAGTGATCAAAGTTCTGATGAAGATGGGTTCAGCAGGCCGGATCCTTCTCAGGAGGTCCCAACCAGGAGAAGCCCACAGATGAAGCCCAAGCCTTCCAGAATCCCCACCAGACCCACTTCCAGTGCCAGCACCAGGAGCTCCAGAGAGGAGGAGGAGCTGAGCGGCTCTCAGAAGGTAGAACCGTTTCACGCAAGCATTCAGACGTTTGTTTGGTGGAACATCTGGCTCTCCGCTCATCCTGTACTCATGAAAAACAGCATGACTCATGAAAATCCTCCGAGCCCCGGCTGGAGTCCAGTCCTACACCAGATCCGTGTGTGTGTGTGTGTGTGTGTGTGTGCGTGCGTGCGTGCGTGCGTGTGTGTGTGTGTGTGTGTGTGTGTGTGTGTGTGTGTGTGTGTGTGTGTGTGTGTGTGTGTGTGTGTGTGTGTGTGTGTGTGTGTGTGTGTGTGAACACCGAGATGACCAGAACAATCTTTATTTCACACGTTTTTAACAGATTCTGCGCTAAAACGTTTAATGTTGTTGCCTCCATTATGTAAACTCTGGTCTCCTCTCACTCACTCCCATCTTGGACGTGGAACAGGTCTCTCCACATCCCTCCACCTCAGTAGCAGCTGAACTCTTCCACCTGCCGACGCAATCGTGTTACTGCAGCAAAAACGCCAATGTTGGATATTTTGGGGTTTGCCAGAAACGTCTGCTATAAAAACTTTGTGGCAGTAAAGTCATTATTGTTTTTTATTATTTTCAATAATTAGGGTAGAAACCCGTCAAATGAAAACAGACCATAATATTCTAATCTCATATTCTGATGAACCAATTTTCCAACTGAGTCAGAAATCGTGATTCAGTTTGCACCAAAATAATCATGAAAGGGATTTTATTTCTGTTATTGAGCAGCTCTAATAATTAATTTGTTTGTTTGCAATTTACTTTTAATTTACTTGCAAATGCATCTCCACCTCCTCCCAAAATGTTGCTTCTTTTCCCGACTTTTTGACTCTGGAAAACCAAACCAAGAACCAGATTCCTGCAGAGACTCGATGACTCTAGGAGAAGTAAAATGAGAACTCTCGAGGACATTTTGAGACTCTTCTGAGACTTGTGCATGTCGTTAACAACTGTTGTATCCCCGTGAGATCCTGGAGTGTCTTTCCTTTAATACAGACGGACCTCTCAATAGAGAGCCTGGAGAGGAAGGAGCGCCCCCTGCAGGAGGCCTCCATGGGGAGCTTCCGAGGCTCCACAGCTCTGCTCGTTGAGCTGGAGGATCAAGTGGCTCAGGCTGCTGCCGATGTTCAGAACGCTCAGAGTCAGGTCAGAAACCAGGAAGCAGCAGGAAATCTGGTCTCACTTTGACTCATCATCAATTTATGCCTCCAGGTTTCTTACATAGAGAACAGGATCGCTGCCCTGAAAGCCGCCAGCATCCCATCAGAGAAAAGACAGAAGGTGAGGATCTTTAGTTTCTGCTTTCCATTTATTCCAAATGCCAACAGGAACTGATTATAGGGAGAGAGCTTGGATTGATTTGGGAATGACGTGAGTCTCAGATCCTTTCTGAGCTGCTCACAGCTTTGATGAATGTTTTCTGACATTCCTTCTCTGTGTCCCTGTTTGCAGTCAGCAATCCCGATCCAGGCCAGAAGACTCTCCCACAACTTTCCCACAAGTAAGAGTGTCTCCTCTCCCCAGGGTCTCCCTAACCAGTCCACATCTTAACCGTGTTAACCTGGGAGAACATGATAGTCCACTTCCAGACCCAGTGAACAATGTCTCCTGTTGTGTGGTGGATAGACTTCTCCCTGCCGGAGAGCTCAGACAGATCCTCTTCATGGGGGATTACTAAAGAAAACTTATACATGACTCCGACTGGGAATTTGTAGCTCAGAATTAACTTCATGGTTGAAGAAATGTAGTTAATCCAAGCTGCTGTTGAATGATTCCCAGATGACAAGCTGTTCTGATTTTCCTGGGTTTTAGGAGGGAACTCAGGTCTCTTTATGGGAGCAGAATCCCAACGAATCATCCACAGCAGAAGTTAAGATTCCTCAATCCTTTCATCCAATAAATCAGGAGAGGGGGAGGGAACAAGGGAGAGATGGAGAGAGAAGGAAAGAGGGGGAGGAAAAGAGGGTGAGAGAGAGAGAGAGAGAGAGAGAGAGAGACTTTAGGAATTTTGTCTTTTATCTTGATTAAATGTGTTTATCTGATTATCTCTAAGTAATGATGAGTGTTTAATCTCATAGAGAGTCGGTGAGTTCTGAGTTTATTTTATGAGATGATGGTTTTCTTAAATCTCCCGATTTTTATCTCGTTGTCTGGACATAAAGGAGGCGATCTTCCTGCTTCTGGTCACGTTGAGTCTGTTTGCTTAAAGTGTTCTTTTATCAAAGTAATACCCACACAGAATAATCCAGAGTATTTTATACACGAAAGGCTGCATGAACAGAATAGCAAACACAACTATTGTGATTTTAAACAGTCTGACTCTAGAAGACGTTGTAAAAGTGCAGCTGTGTGTTTCAGACTCGTTTGTGAGGAGCTCTGTCTACAGGGGCTCTCTGACCCAAAGGAACCCGGTGGCAAAGCCCAAACCCCAGCCCCCCTGTGCGGTATGACCCCCCTCGGTGCTGGGTGCCTTTGAGCGTTCATTTCTAACATTAAACATAAAAATCCCCCGACGTAAACATCGGACACAATCAGTAAATCACAACTTTTCTACTTTAGTTTACAGGTTTTTATTCCTGTGCATCTGATGCAGCGGATGAAACGTTAGTCAGCAAAGAATCATTTGGTTTATTCGGTAAAAGTGATAAATATTATTTAATATAATGTCAGAAATGAACTCTGGGCTCAGGAGGCTTCGGGGAGGTTTCCTAAATGATTCACGATCAAAAGCTTTCCTTTGATTTGATTCCATTGTTTCTCTTTTATTTCCTTTGTTCTGATCAAACAGTTTTATTTCTGCTCACGGATGACTGAGAGGAAGATACATGCTGATGCTCTGGAGGCAGAACGGCACAGAAACTAAATAAAATTATAAATATAAATCTGTGAAATAAAAAACGGACCTGGTTATTCTCCAGCTGCGCCCACACAGCAAACATCAACGTCTCAGAAAACTGGAGCCCTAAATATTCCCAATGTGCTTCCAGAGACTAGATCCAAGACTCCAGAGGAGGAAAAATCTGATTCCAAACATCAAAACTAATTCACAGGTATAAACAAAAGTATGGAACAGCAGTCTAAAAGAAACAATAGAAAAAAGTCTGGAAATGTGAGAAAATATATGAAAACAGTGAAGAAATTAAAGAAGAAAAGTCTGTGAATTCCATTAAAACAACATCAAGTTAAAAATTAAAGTCAAAACATGTTTATACGTTCAAAAGCTGTGAAAGAAACGGAAAAGTTGAATAAAAATCAGAACATTAAACTTTAGCTGGAGGTTCAATTTACATTCAAATAAAATTTAAGAGATGTTTTAAACAGGAACAGTAACACAATTTATCAGATGAACAAAAATATATCACTCAGATTATATAATGTGTTTGTTTATTAATTTATTACAACAATTTATTTATTTGTTTGTTTATTTAATTATTTATGATTTATTTTAAAATTTACCTAATTTGTTTGTTTGTTTATTTATGTAAATTATTTATTAAATGTTTTTATTTATTTAAATGTTATTTGTATACTTATTTGTTTGTTTGTCTGTTCTGCCACATTCATAGAACAGACTAGTTGTTACCCTGAAAAACAATAAATAAAACAAACTAAGCTAAATGTTCTTATTTGACTTTTGGGATAATCGTCATAGTAATAAGAACTCTTCTTTGTATTGATTCATAATCATCTTGTTTGTCTTATTTAACACAGAAGTAATTAGATGTTTCTTTACCTTCGGCTGATCACATCACAAAACAAGAGCAGCAGTGACTACACAGCCAAAAACAGACATCATCATCCTACCAGCTGACAAGGGAAGAACTATAGTCATTATGGACACGTTCAAAAACAAACAACAAGTGGAACAACATCAACAAAACAGAACATTCCACAAAAAGACAAAGCTAAAGGTAGATGATATAAAACTGTTAATATGACTGGTAGCAGACTCCACACTGCACATACAACACACTTATTTACAAACAATTAGAAGGATTTGCAATGAGAAACCTGCTATCAGCCACCCTCTGGGAATTCTTCATGGAAAACCTGGAACAGGAAGCCATCACAACCCAGTAACGGCACAAACAACATGAAATCCACATATGAAGAAGAAAACAATAACAGCATGGACATGAAAATAACCAGACAGCATGAATCAACACATACAGATCAATACCTATTATGGACAGCAGAACATCCCATAATACACAAATGATCAGTGATCAGAACACCACAGAGCTAACATGGTGGCAGAAGAACAGGATCACAAACTAGAGGACCAGCACATACAAAACACACTAAAACCTGCCGATGCCCGGCACTGAAGAAAAGCAAACAACAAACAACAGAAAGAGAAAGACGAACCATCAAGGAGAACCAGGACAACAGAGGGAGCAAAACCAGAACCAGCAATAACCCTTCCTCACATCAAAGACACGTAAAACACGTAAAAACATCTGATAACTGCTCTGTGTTAAATAAGAAAAATAAGATAATTATATTCATGAGAAACTTCAAACTTCCGCATGAATTTAATAGTTCCTGATCTTCATCACCTCTCAGTTTTCTGGCATTTAGAAAGTTTCACCCAAACAACAAAAATATTCCCTTCTTCACTGCTGAATAACCTTTCTAATTGTCTTCTAATCATCAGGACTGTCTGACCTTCTCCTGATCTGATCCATGAATTAATCTGAGCCTGAGGGGGTCCCAAATCCAGATTATTCCTGTAACTGTGTTTTTGTCTCCTCTAACAGAAACCACTGATGACTCCGGGCTCATGAGGAGGCGCCTCAGTGTCATGTGACCGTCGCTGTGGCTGAGATGAATAAGGTTTCATCAGAAAACGTCTTTGTTTCAGTCAGACTCAGAAAAAAGAAAATAGTAATGAACAGATTAGAAGTTCTGGTGTTTTACTGCATTAACATAATCCCAGTGTGTTTATTCATATTTCCGCCTAATCCCACCCCAGATGTTGGTTTATTCTGATCGTGTACATGTTTAACATTAACTTCTGGTTTAAGTGTTTTAAATGATAATAAACTGACAGTTTCGTGTATCAGCTGTATTAACCTGAAAAGGGCTGGTTGGCTTTTATTTTCCTGTTGTGATGACCTGTGGAGCCACGGGGAGTCAGCTCACGCTACTGTTTACCGTTTATAGAACACCAAGTCATGACGAGTCGTCTCGAGGATCTTCACAGAGTAAACCTTCCAGTTGAGTTCAGGTCATCAAGCTATTCAGCTTCCTATATAAGGAACCCAGCAGGCTGCATCGAGTCACTGACTAGTGTCAGAGTCTTTACAGCAATCCTCATACTAAGCAAGCATGCAGCAACAGTGGAGAGGAAAACTCCCTTTTAACAGGAAGAAACATCCGGAGCAGCTGTCCACCATCTTTAAAGGCTTGCTGCTCAGACTTCTGTTTGCTTTGAGAATCTTCCACACAGGATCTGATAGGTGATCCAGGGTTAGGCTCCGCCCCCTCTACGTATCGTGGAATGTACTGTTGATGCTGCTTTGAATCTGATCCCCAGACAGTTTCACATCAACACACAAATGTGCACCAGGACTAGCCTGGCAAGCCAGACTAAATAAATGTATTATTTAGTCTGGCCACGCTCCATTGACGGCTCTTGGTTGTGGGGCGGGTTCTACCGTTGTCTTTCAAATGATCTCCGCATTCCACTGGACAATGAATGTGACATACTCTTGTTTCACTCTGTTGCATCATCCCACCCACCAGGCATATAGAGTGCCCTGATTGGCCCACAAATCGGATAAAGCTCTGTGATTCGTTCACTAAGCAGATAGAGCACTATGATTGGCCCACCATTATGGACCAATCACAGCTCTTTATGTGTTTGAAACCCCTCTAGAGAGCTGGGATTGGCTAGCCAGAGTCCTGGTAGGAGCTGTTGAGGTTCCAATGGAGCATGCCTAGACCAAACTTTGCAAAGCAAGAATTTGGTCTAGTTCACTAGGCTACACCAGGACAGCAGAAAGCCTAAATGTCTGGTGCTCTGAATGTTTCTGTTAGAACTGAGGAAAGTCCTCAGGTAAATCACACAAGGCAGCTTCGGCTGTGTGTGCCTTCACTTGTCTGGAAAGGAAGTTACGGGTGAGTTAGTTCATGGAGGACTTGTATCTTCCTCCTGGACCAAACTTTTCACAAGTAGGTTTAGTTTTCTTCATTCAAACTAACTGAAGCATTCTGATGTGGAACTAGTTCCAGCAGCAACATCTGCAAAGCAGCAGAAACTCTGATTTCAACACTGAAATCATCCACGTCTGATCCTTTACTACTTTATTCTTCTCGCTGTGTGGCCTTTCTCTGATTCTCTGGGGAAACGGCAGGAACTTGGTTTCAATCAACTTAATGAATCATCTTTTTATAGCTGAGATTCCTCATGTTTCGCTGCTCAAAGCAGAAATGTGATGGAGCAGCTGCCAATTTGGAGAAAATCAATTTTCAGCTGCAAAAAGAAACGGAGGAAGACCAGAGGAAAGTTTTAGATCTTTATTTCTGCTGCTGGATTGTTGCTGATCAGTCAGAAACTCTTTCTGTTGAACCTTCAGCAGGCCCTGACGGAGGTTTTCTGTACGAAGCTGCCGAATTTTAACCAAAAAGACGAGACTAGATGTCCTCAGCTGTTCCAGCTTAATGAAGAGTTCCTGATCCTCATTCCAGAAGCAGAAAACGGAGCAGAGAACTTCTGGATCAGATCCACTCTGAGGAAAGTCAGTGTGCTAGACACAAATAAAAAACATTAAATGGGATTTCCTGTAGCATCTGAATAAATAAACAAAAATAATCCAGAGAAACATTTTTGCTCCTTTTTAGAATAAATGACTGGAGCGGTCTGAGTTTCATCTGTTAGAGCGCTTTCTGTCGCGTGTTTCTGATGGAGCTGATTGAGTCAATAAGGTCATTAGAGCATGAAAGAGAACAAATTCTTTGATGTTGAAAGGATTCTTTTTGTTGCATGAGAATAAATCTGATTATTGTATTTATTATGATGATGGCGCAGCTCCAGATTAAAAACAGAATAAATCTGACAGGAATCCAAACCCAAAAGAGTTCCTTCATGTTTTCAGCTTTGAACTGATTTAGATTCATCTTCTTTTGAAAGCCCGTCTAAACCCATCAGGGTCCAACTCTGCAGCAGGAGGCAAACGGGTTGAAGGATTTTCTGTGCCGTGGATCCACCAGCGGCATCTCGTGCCACTCTGACAGCCCATCTTCCTGCTCGCCGACGCTCTCGTAGACCCCGTGGGCTGAAGGGAAGGATCAGAGAGCCTGGATTAGAAAAGTGATTTTAATTCATGTGTTCATGAAAGAAAGGCCTTTAAATGGTTAACACTTGGGTTCAGTCTGAGGACCATCAGCATCACGGTGGTGTCTGCTGCCATCTAGTGGACAACCTTTGTAATTAATAACATTTGAAATGCATTTAATGCAATGTCATCCATGTTAGTGTGCAACCTTCACTGCTTATCCAAGGTCAGAGGTCAAGTCCTCCTGAGGAATACCAAGGGAAGAAAGTTCATCCTGCAAGTCCTGAATTTGTCCCAGGATCTCCTCCCAGTGCCCGAAAAACTTCCAAAAGGAGGTGCTCAAACGTCCAAACCACCTCAGCTTTGATGAGGAGGACCAGCAAGCCATCTTTGTCTCCTCAGGGAGAGGCAGCTCCTTCCTCACCAAAAACCTCAATATGCGCTTCTCCTCCATCCATACCGTCCCTCATGAGCAAAGCACCAACAACTGCTGTGGTTTTTCCACTTTGGTGAAAGTTTGGAATGTGATAGGAATGTTCTTGGGCAGATAATGAAAGACCAGAACATCTAGCAGTACACAGGGGTGTTGTCAGCGTAGAGAGGCATCGGAGGTAATTTGTCCCTCTAGGACATGTTGGTCCTGAATCAGAGCCCTGAGGCACACCATTGGAGAGGCTTAGATTGTCTGAAAGCCTCCCAGTTTGGACCGGAGCATCATGGGAGCTGGACTTACCCACAGCCAGCAGCAGCTCGTTGACTCGATCTCCTGACAAAGCCGATGTCTCTGTGAAGGACAAACCTTTTTCTTGGGCCAGATTCTGTCCTTCCTGTCAACAAAAGGCAAGAAATCTGAACGGCTTATCCTAAAACCCAAACCTGCTTTACTCAGACGAGGGTTTCTGGACCTGATACCTGAAGTGAAACTTCTCGATTCTGAGACAGATCTTCCTTGTTGCCTATGAGCCAAACGACCGTAGATCCTGGAATATATTGTTTCTCCAGCTCCCTGAGCCACACCTGAGCTCTGACAAACGTTTCCTACAAACAACAACAGCATGAACAACCCACAAACCATTTCCTGTTTCCTGGTTCTGGTTTCTACCTTTTTGCAGATGTCATAGACCACGAGAGCTGCGTGGGCTCCTCTGTAGTACAGCGGAGTCACACTGTGGTACTTTTCCTGTCCCGCTGTGTCCCAAATCTCAAATCGGAGCGTGATGTCCTCCAGATATAAAACTCTGGTCAAATAAGCACCTGAGGGTAGAGAAGGGATCCATGTACAGTTGTGGTCAGAAGTTTACATACACTTGTAAAAAATATAATATAATGGCTCTACTGAGTGTCCCGTTATTTCTAAAACTCTGATTTTTCTCTGATAGAGTGATTGGAACAGATACTTCTTTGTCACAAAAAACATTCATGAAGTTTGGTTCTTTAATGTCTTTATTATGGGTTAACAGAGAAAAGTTATCACATTTGCAGGGTCACAAATATACATACAGCAACATGATCTAGCAATTTTGGTGACTTAGAAACGTGTCAGTGAACTGAGCTTCATAGCATGGCCTCTTAACTTCTTGTGAGTGATTATGAGTGACTACAGCGGGTGACTTCTCTTAGGCCAGGTAAATAGGGCTCATTGGATACAAACGCCCACAAACGCTACAATGGGAAGTCAAAGGAGCTCAGCATGGATCTGAAAAAGCGAATTATTGACTTGAACAAGTCAGGAAAGTCACTTGGGGCCATTTCAAAGCAGCTGCAGGTCCCAAGAGCAACAGTGCAAACAATTGTTTGCAAGTATAAGGTGCATGGCACTGTTTCATCTCTGCCAAGATCAGGAAGAAAACACAAGCTATCACCTGCTGCTGAGAGAAAATTGGTCAGGAGGGTAAAGAGTGAACCAAGAATCACCAAAAAGTAGATCTGCCAAGAATTAGAAGCTGCTGGAACACAGGTGTCATTGTCCACAGTCAAACATGTTTTGCATCTCCATGGACTGAGAGGCTGCCGTGCAAGAAGGAAGCCCTTGCTCCAAAAGCGGCACCTTAAGGCTCGACTGAAGTTTGCTGCTGATCACATGAACAAAGATAAGACCTTCTGGAGGAAAGTTCTGTGGTCAGACGAAACAAAAATTGAGCTTTTTGGCCACAATGCCCAGCAATATGTTTGGAGGAGAAAAGGTGAGGCCTTTAACCCCAAGAACACCATGCCTACAGTCAAGCATGGTGGTGGGAATATTATGTTGTGGGGCTGTTTTGCTGCCAATGGAACTGGTGCTTTACAGAGAGTAAATGGGATATTGAAGAAGGAGGATTACCTTCACATTCTTCAACATAACCTAAAATCATCAGCACGAAGGTTGGGTCTTGGGCGCAGTTGGGTGTTCCAACAGGACAATGACCCCAAACACACATCAAAAGTGGTAAAGGAATGGCTAAATCAGGCTAGAATAAGGGTTTTAGAATGGCCTTCCCAAAGTCCTGACTTAAACCCCATTGAAAACATGTGGACAGTGCTGAAGAAACAAGTCCATGTCAGAAAGCCATCAAATTTAACTGAACTTCACCAATTCTGTCAAGAGGAGTGGTCAAAGATTCAACCAGAAGCTTGCCAGAAGCTTGTGGATGGCTACCAAAAGCGCCTAATTGAAGTGAAAATGGCTAAGGGACATGTAACCAAATATTAGCACTGCTGTATGTATATTTGTGACCCAGCAAATGTGATCACTTTTCTCTGTTAACCCATAATAAAGACATTAAAGAACCGAACTTCATGAATGTTTTTTGTGACAAAGAAGTATCTGTTCCAATCACTCTATCAGAGAAAAATCAGTTTTAGAAATAACGGGACACTCAGTAGAGCCATTATATTATATTTTTTACAAGTGTATGTAAACTTCTGACCACAACTGTAGATACATTTTTGAACACTTCCCTGTAACTGTTTGGGTCCAAAATCTAATTTAAGCTCTTTTCAAACCTCGAGGGTTTGACATTCAAAGTTAAAGTGTTGAGTAGGAATAATAATCAACCATTGGTGCCTTTCCTTTACAGTTTTACTGGTTTGTTTTTATGGGATGTCCTGAGCAGGAGGGTCTATGTCCAGGTGAGTGCACCTGAAGGACCACAGATTACAGGGTTTGTCTCCATGGTGATCTGAGCTCAGACTCACAGAGAGGTGAACGTTTTAACAACCCGTCTTTCTGACCTGTTTAACTCGTTAGTTAAAGGTGTTGCAAGTCAGCACACCTGGCGGAGAATTGTTGACATTTTAAACTCTTAAAAGACCCAGTTTATCCACTACAAAAACAAGCTGTTGGCCTTCGATTTCTCCTTTTTGCACTTTTAGAGGATTAAATAAAGAGTTTATCTGGAACAACATTAATAAAGATTCTGCATGAACTCACAGCCCACCGTAGGCGACGAGTCCCTGAACTGATCTTTGCTAAACCTCACAGCCAGACTGGACTTTCCCACTCCAGAACTCCCCAGGAGAACCATCTTAACCCTGAGGGTCCGGACTGGCACTCCTCCTGGTACCCGTGGGAGCGTCTCCCCCATCAAAAATAACAGGAAAACCCGAATAATCTAGTAGATCCTGGTTTTGACCCGGTTGGGAGCAGCAGCTCCTGTTGTGTTTCAGCTTCACCTTTGAAATGAAAGTAAAATCAAAGCACTTCAAAGAGAAGAGAAAATGTTTCCCTTCCTGCTGCGGAGCCACAACCCAGCCATAAATCCTCCAGACTGACGTTCAGTCTCAGTCTGGAACCAGAAGACCCAGAAGAATACAAAAAGTCCTCTGAAGTTGAATCAAACCTCACTGAGTCTTAAAAACGATCCGAATGCCGCAGGAACCGCGGAGTGTTTTCTGTTTGTGTCCAGCAGAGTGCGCCTGTCAAAGCGCTTATTGACCACCAGAGGGCGCCTGTCTTCATCTCATGGCCCTGCAGTTAGGGGTCAGTAGAATCCTTTAAAGTAAAAGAAGTTTGTCTTTAAGAACTCATGCACTGTTTGGCCTCAGAGGTCAGCAGCCTTATAAATAGTTTTTTTTTGGGGGGGGGGGGGGGGGGGGGGGGGGGGTTGCTGGTCCTGCTGGAGCTGTGGTTTCTGACGGAAACTGAACCCCTGAACGTCTCTGATGCTGCCTTCAAGTGCAACAGGAAAACCTCTGAATTCCCGTGATTGATCATTTCCCGCCTCCCCTCCCCATTTATTCATGTTTTATTCTTGTTTTTTTTTTTTTTTTTTACATGTTTGAATACATTAAGGTGTTGCCACTCACTCATTACACACACTTATTTATACCCCCTCCTCCCTTTCTTCTTCTCTGTTTTACGAATCATGGGTTTAACTGTCTGAGAATAAATGAATAAATGAGTAAACTTATTCAGTACCAGAGGAGAGCTGGTTAGGACATGTGTTTAAATGTTTTACATGAAAGCTGTTGCTCTCTAGACATCTTCTATTATGCGTCACATTACCAGGATTTCCAGTTATTCTTCACTTCAAATGAAGAGTTTTTGAACAAATAAATCTGGCAAAAATAAAGCAGTCTCCTATCAGCGTTAACGGTGGGGAATTCTGATTTATATTGCTGTATATTTTATTATGGAAACATTGTTTATTTTAGTCCGAACCTAAAAACTGAACAAACCTAATGCTGATATTAAAGTTAATATTGTTTATTAATCATAAAAAACTCACTCTCAGATAGTCTAATATTTGTATTATGTTCCAAATATCTTACTTTATTATTACTTTATCAGATGAATATTTAGTTCCGATTTTTAAAAAGTCAAAAAGGAATAAAAAGCATTACCATTTGCAATTTTTTAAATGATCCTACTCCGGCTGGTGTTTTGATATTCGTCATTAGTTATGGCAAAAACAAATGTTTATTGTCTTTAGACCACTGTGTTCCATGATTTCCACTATTTTGCATTAAGCCCTCGTGAACAAAACATGGTGTAAAGAAAGAAAATAGATGCAAAACAATAATAAATAGATTAATACAAATAATTAGAAATAAAAACGTTCCTTTAATTATAACATCAGGACCCCAACTGGAGGTTTCACGAGCCTCAGTGGGGGGTCCGACCCAAGCTTTCAAAACCACCCGTTTCTCTACAGAAGCCTAAAACTCCGACACCCCCTGAAGGCAGCACGAGCGAACGCGCTCTTTGAAGTTCGGTTCTCCTTCCGCTCCGAACCCGTCCACGTTCTGAGTTTAGCAGCTGCGTTGAGTGGTTTTCTGTTGTAATCCGGGATTAACGACGTAAATCTGCGGGTGTTTAGTTTGAGTTTGGGTTCGGATGCTCACGCGCACGTGCTGAAAGACGGTCCGTGACGCGCAGTTTTCAGGAAGAAAAAACGGATGTGTGACAATGACCCGCGCTGAGACGCGCACCGGGCTCGGTTCGTCTCTCCGGTTCTGACTTGGCATTTTAACGGCACATGAGCGCCGCCAGCTGCGGCCGCGGCTCTGTTCGGTTTGTTGGACGAAACTAAAAACCGGGACGGAAACACCAGAACCATGGGCACTCAGGGAACCGGGCGGAGAAGATCCACTAAAAAGGAGAGGTCCACGGCAGAGGACGATGCCTTAAACCTCATAGCCAGAGAGGTGAGGAGTCAGACCCAACCTGAACTTTGGCCCATAGAGTTCCGACTGGGTCACATCTGGTGAAGCCAACAGTTATTTAAAATCACATGATAGGTTAATTATGCGATGAACTTTAATTTACAAATGCTGAAGAGTGTTTCAGGGTAAAAGTTATAAATAACTCTTATCTGTGTAGGTTCCTGAACGGCCTCTGTTCAGAGAAATGGCGTTTATTTCCTCCTGTCTCGATAAGCTCTCAGCTAGTCAGACTGTACTACTGTAATCTATGAATTACCTCACAGCTGAGAATTACATGACTTATGCCAGACGTTGAGAGATTACTGCTGGTGTTGGCTACGCTGCTGAAGAAACAGCTCCATCATAAAAACATGTAATAATTATTGATGATTATGATTTTATTTTTTCAAACATAAAAGTAAACAATAACACGTGTCAGCTCTGGTTAATGCAGGGTTCAGCAGGAGTACGTTCACCTAAATACCTGTTTAATATGAACTCTGGGTCGAGCCTGGAGGATGTAATCTCTCTTTCTCTGAACGGAGGCTGATCAGAAAGAGATCATAGAGATGATTTAAAGACGGTACCGGCTGAATCCTAAACGATTTTCTGTCACACCTGATGATTGTTTTGCTGCAGACCCGCAGGAGATCAATCCTGTTCTGACCGGTTTACACGGTTTCCAAGGTTCTAATCCCCATGGTTAGTGTGAGTCTAGCTGAGGATAAAGCACGTTTAGAGGTGAGATAATACCTGGTGTGTCATCAGGAGTTAAGTGGTGGAAATCGGAGGATAAATGTTGATATTCTGTTTTTGTTCTGAAAGACTTTGATGATGTTCCTCATGAAGAGTGTTGCTTCATCAAAGTCCCGTCTGACGACCTGAACTCGGATGTTTCAGCTCATTTGCATAACTCCTCTAACTGTCATGGTGGCAGTGGGCTGATGCTGATTTGTGTGTGGTTGGGATGGTTTTCATTTGCGCTGCTGTAAATCAGTCTGAGGTTGCAGATTCCAGGAGCTGGTCATCATTTCTGCTTGTAGTTTGTTTGCAGTGGCAGCAATGTTTTCCAGCCCGTGCTGCGTACCCAAACACGAGGTCGTTTTAGCCGTCCCTGGGGGCGCCCGAACCAGAACAGATGACCACCAGCAGTCTCTGCGTCTTTAAGCAGCAGAGGGCTGAATCTGACATCGGTATGTCAGCTGATGAGCTGGTCTGCTCTGCAAAAGACTTTTATAAATAGCCGCTCTTGAGGGATCAGCTGTTGCAGCACCCCAGTTTTAGATCTGGTCTGCGGTCGGGTGGGGGGTGGGGGGGTGGATAGATGGCTCATCAGCTGGTCTCAGAACCGACACACAAACCGCCGAGTCTGAGCCTGAAACTGATCACGCCGGCTCGGATTTATCGTGTTTATGAGGTTCGGAATTGTGCTCCGTCATCAGGATTCCTGCAGCGGTGTTTATCCTTCCTGCTGGTTCTGTAGAGCCGCTGGACCACACACATCTGCTCCTCTTTCAAACACACTTCATCCACCTGTAAACATTCATTTATTCTTACTGCGAGTTAGAAAAAGTGAGATTCGCAGAGATGAGTTACAGCCAAACGGTGACTCGGCTCACAGACCTTAAAGGACCTGCATGTGGAGCGTAATGCCATCTGGTGGTCAGTGTGGGGACTGCAATCATAATGTCATGTTTGAGTTTTTTCATGCGTTGCTTCAAATGACACAAGCAGCGGGTTCGTGCGTGTTTACAACGTCTGCTGTTTCATTATTATGATGCGAGTTACGCGACTTGATGTTTCAGGGGTGAAACGTAATAGTTGTATTTGAGCACATTCATGCCTCACATGCATGAGTGTGTGTGACCTGTGTTTGAGTTATTCTCATTGGGTTTTGTTTGAGTTTTTAAATAAATAAATATCATTTGAGGGTTAAAAATACGTATCTGAGAAGTTTGTCATCAGCGTATTATTCTAGTTGCTGCTGTTAGCTCATTCCTTCTAGCCAAGACAAACCGGCTTGCTTTTGCTTTTTACTTCCAGACAGAAATATTTATATTAAATCTTGAATATTACAGAATAAATCAGATACTAAGTGCAACATGTTGTAAGGATAGTTGCTTGGGTGAACTTTAACGGATTTAATTCCCCTCAGGAAAAACATTTGAGGTTTAGGTTCAGTGATTATTTATCAACCAGCTGATTATTAAGCTCTGAGGACAGGATGACTGTTGAATTAAAAAGGGATTAAACAAATCCGCACATTCTAGGTTTTTGTGGTTCCCGAGGACAGCTTGCTTCAGTTAAACTGATTTAGTTCCTGTGCATTAAGACGGCCAGAAGAGTGATAAAATACAAATCTGCTTGTCCAGTTCTGATATTTTCTTTATTCAGATTAGAAATAAACTCTAAAAAACAATTTTAAAAGGATTGAAATAAAGAAATCACCTCTGCAGCAGGACTAGACCCTGCTGCTCCTGTATCACTGAATATATCAGGTTTAGAGGGATTATTAAAACACAGATTATTTTTGTAGATGATAGATTAATTAATTTATCACTATTTATGCAGTTTTCACATAGGTATTAATTGTATATTGATATTTCTGTGAACACAAGGGAAGTGTGCATTAACAGCTGCTAACATTATTACAGCCAGTGATTAATCTGAATGAATGTTAAACCAACTCAGTAAAGTAGCATTAGATTATTATCAGGTGAATGGTTGTTTGGAGGCTTTTCTTCATAAAGTGATCAGGCTCCGAGTGTGTCACGTCTAAATGGGTCCGGGTGGAAACAGTGGTGTGTGAACTCACCTGTAGTCCATCAGTTTTCCTGCTTGTGAGACTAATTCTTCTTCTGACACCACGACCCAATCAGCCGGTGAATTTACTTCCTGTATTTTATGTTGACTTGGGTTTGCTGTGATGCTAGTTTAGCTTCGCTGGTTGTATCAGACATGTTTCTGTCTGCAGAGCAGGTGCCTGATTATTTGTTGGTGGTGTGTTTAGTCTGCATGAACTGGGATTAACAGGCTCTGTTGTGACTGTTGGAGCTCAGCGGGGCGTTGAGATAGACTGATCACTTAGACTAGATTAGTTAGAGGAAGCCCACCGTATAATCTACTCTTTATTTATCTGTCGTTTGCTCAGAAAGCATCAGGTCATCCTGCGTTCCAGTTAATCTTTAATGCTGATAGCGAACAGTCCAAACTGGCTAAATAAATAGTTTTGTTTGGTCACGTTTAACCAGTTCAGTCTAAACCGGTGTTAAAGTGTTCTACATTTATTTTACATTTTAGGCTCCACAGATTAAACTTTTCCCAACAAAAATACCCAAAAAGTTCTTTTAACACACATTAGTCAAACAATTCTTCTTGTATTTCCTGATGCTTGAACAATCAGAAAGTTCTGGTTTGAGTCGAGCTCGGCACGCCTGAGTCACATCTCCTTAAAAGGAAGTGGAGTCTCTGAGTGTGGTGGTTTCCTCTGGGTGACATCACCTCGGGTTCAGCCCAGGCAGATTGCTATCACAAACTGCTTCCTGTTTACTGAGCATGGCTGGGTTCTGTCCAAAGCCCAGCGAACAGTGGAGGGCGGAGATGATCGTTATCATACCAGGTAGTCTGAGTGTGGCTGGGAACGCCCGGAACTGGGCGGGTGAGGGTGTGGTGGTTTTGGTAATGTTGGTGGTGATTGGAGACCGGACCAGAGGAAGAGAACGAGAAGTTCTGGTGCCCTTCAGTTAACAACCACGTTTAATAACTCGAGTTTAGACCAGGTTCCTTTTCCTACACTGTAAAATCTGATTGGTTCCGCTTACTTGAAAAAAATCATGCAAACCAATTGCACCTAAAATAGTATGTAAGCGGGAATTATATACTGGAGTTACTAATAATTACAAAGTAGAATTAACTTGTTACTTCAAGTAAGACGAACTAGTACAAAGTACTTAAAAATTTGCTTCCTTAACTAGTACTTCTATGTTGTATATAATTGAGCAGTAGTAAACTGTAAGCAACATTTTCAGTTTTTTAGTTTCTTTGTTATTGTGACTTTAAAGTGCAATTTTACTTTATATGCATTAGTGACTCCAACCCATAGTTACTTGTGCCAGTCCATCCATCCATCCATCCATCCATCCATCCATCCATCCATCCATCCATCATGCATGGTCGGGTCATGGGGCAGTAGCCCAAGCAGAAAGGCCCAGACTTCCCTCTCCTCAGTAAGGTTGGGCATCGTTTTAATTTGAACGATTCCAATTCCTTGTTTTGATTCCGTTTCCTATTGATTCCCGATTCTGATTCTGTCAAGTGGCCGGATCCAAAAACATTAGATGCTTTAAATGAGCCAGCTAACCTTGGCTTACTTGACGAAATAATCTGAACAGCGTCTGTTTGCCGCTGCGCGCCTGTGCAGTGTGAGCGTAGGGAGGAGGAGTCTCTGCAGCTGCAGGGTAGGAGCGGCAGACAGCTGGTGTGATTGTCTCTGAAAGGCATTGATCAGAACTTGTAGATCACGTTTCTTTTCACGGAGATCGGCCGCAGATTCTTCTTCAGGCCGGCAGCGTGAGAATCGAGACAAGGAATCGAAATAAAAAATGAGTGCGATTCTGGGAAACGCTGAGCGTTAGTCATGGTTCTAATCAATGCTCCATGCCTAACCCTACTCCCCAGTCACTTGGGCCAGCTCTTCTGGGGAAATCCCTAGACGTTCCCTGGCCAGGTGAGAGACATAGTCTCTCCAGCGTGTCCTGGGTCTTCCTTTATGCCTTCAGCCGGTTGGACATCCCCGGAAAACCTAAACAGGGAGGCGTTAAGGAGGCATCCCAACTAGATGCCCGAGTCAGCTCAACTGGCTCAGCTCGATGTGGAGGAGCGGCAGGTCTACTCCAAGCCCCTCTTGGATGACCGAGCATCTCACCCTATCTCTAAGGGAGAGCCCAGCCACCCTGCGAAGAAAACTCATTTCGGCCGCTTGTATCCGTGATCTCGTTCTTTCG